GTTATACATGAAAATGACAAAGTCCAAAAAAGTTACATTTTAGTTATAACTTTTTTGTACCTCACAGGCTAGGTATAACTAAGTTATACTTTAGTTATAACTTAGTTATAACTTTTTTCGGTATGGGGAAGTTCATAAAATTCATCTGGATTTTATGATTATTTAATAGAATATGTTTTGATAATTCAAAATGATAGATAAATAAAATAAATTAAACAAAACTTTATAGAAACACTTTATTTATCATACATATATATCTACCGGTATATTATTTAAAAAAAAACCACTTGTGTTAATTTATCTAAAAGAGTTTGAAAATGTAGCACAAAAAGGGATAATAATTTTTAAGTTCTCAATCAATAATATTAATAATTTGGGGAAAAAATTAAATTAAAGGTACAATAAAAATATCACTTTTCTTAAATCTTAATTTTATCTACTTATATTTATATATATTTTTATTCAGTATATTTCGGAAAATAGAAAACCCTCTGAATTAAAATATAATTGAATGAATATATCTGATTTACAAAATATTGCTTATCCAGGTAAACACAGGTAAGTCTACCTGTACCCCTTAGAGGGCCCCTTAATTGAGTGTGATAATTACTTGTTGTTTTATTCCAGTAGCCATTCGGGGAACACACCCACTAGATCATTGGGATTTGTAGTCTGTGTATACACAGTAATCATAATTTCAGATACCCAGTTCAACAAACATACACTGTAATTCTGGTCCTTCGACGACTTATACCACCTTTCCATGTGAATTATATAACAAACATGCACAGACGGACCATGCGTGTAAATTAAAATGAATACATCTAGAAATTAATTACAAAAATAAATTACACATAAACGCATTTTAGGCACTTATCTGCATTTCCGCAAAGGAAAAAAATACTGTATTTCAAAGACTTCATGACGCAGATTTGGTCAAGCAACTATCACAATTTGTAAGACTTTATTTAAAATGTTTTATTTCCCCCCCCAATATTATCATGCTTTATCGCCAAATTAATTCAAATCACTTCATATAGCCGGTATTTGATAAAATATGGGGGGGGGGGGGGGTTCTCCTTTTATTTGGGATTACGGTCGTGCTCTGACTGTAATACAAATGACTGTACTATTACCTTTAATTACACGAATAAAACTTGATAATTTAAAAGAATATTTCACCAGATTTCTTTGAAGAAGGAAAAGTAAACAAATTGATATTTAGACGAGCACCTGCATGTGTATCTGTGACCAAATTATTTGGGGCGCTCGAAATGCTAATTTGGGGCGTTCGTGAAATACGTTTGGGGCGCTCGTTATTAATATTTGGGGCGCTCATATTTGTACTTGGGCGCCGGTAAAAATTTTTGGGGCGCTCATGCATGGTGCATTCAGGTTTTAGGGCGATACGACAGTAACCCCTCAATATCAGGTCTGGTACAAACACTAGATTTAGCTACGTAGCTTGATTTACCTACATAGCTTTATTTACCTACCTGAGGTAGCTTTATTTAGCTACCAAATTGATCTATTTCTATTAAAAAGCATTTTTCTCAGGGTGTGCAGACAATATCATTTTGATGCAGTGATCATTTTCAACTTTGAACTCATCTGAAAACAACTCATGAAAAAATCCCTCTTGAAAAAATATCTTTTTCTGCGCAATTGCAATCAAAGTTCTGAAAGTTTTGGGGCTATGTATAACAGTTAGAACATTTACTCCTTGAATGAAATGACAAAGAAGTCCAGTTCCGGTTAACACGATAATAGGTCGGTAATTATCTAGCACAATGTGAAGTAATCATACTCAGTCATGCCTCACCGCACCTCACAATATGGTCAGATAACCAAACAATGGAATTACATGTTTTGCTCTAAATTGTCCAAACGCAGCAATGTATAAACTATCTCTGCTTTGAATTGTTTTTTAAAGCCTCCCAATTAAAAATATCAATAGTCATTTAATTGCGACTTTTTGTCTCTTTTTAATAAATGGAAAACTTTTGAAAACTTACCTTGAAATAGCTAAATAAAGCTACCTGAGGTAGGTAAATAAAGCTACGTAGGTAATTCTACCTACGTAGCTAAATCTAGTGATTGTACTGGACCTGAATATATCTTGAACATGTTGAATGTATCATGAGTGCATTGATATTAGTATATTGAGGCCTATTCAGCAGAGCGAATGTTCACAAGCGCTCTTGAACATTTCTATTGGATGTATTAGGAATTTTGGCGAGCCCTCGCGAATGTTCGCTCTGCTGAACAGGCCTCAGGTCCAGTACAATCACTAGATTTATAGCTACATAGGTAGAATTACCTACCTAGCTTTATTTACCTACCTAAGGTAGCTTTATTTAGCTATTTTAATGCAACTTTTCAAAATTTCTCTTTTTTATTAAACAGAGACAAAAAATCGCAATTAATTGACTATTAATATTTATACTAGGGAGGTTTTAAAAAAACAATCCAAAGCAGAGATAGTTTATACATTGCTGCATTTGGACAATTTAGAGCAAAACATGTAATGCCATTGTTTGGTTAACTGTCCTCTCTCTTGCATGGGGTGAGGCATGGCGGAGTATGATTACTTCACATTGTGCTGAATAATGTATTATCATGTTAACCGGAACTGGACTTCTTTGTCATTTCATTCAAGAAGTAACTGTTCTATTAACTGTCATACATAGCCCCAAAACTTTCAGAACTTTGATTGCAGTTGCGCAGAAAAAGACATTTCTTCAAGAGTGATTTTTTAGCTCACCTGAGCAGAAGGCTCAAGTGAGCTTTTCTGATCAAAATTTGTCCGTCGTCTGTCGTTGTCATTGTCGTTGTTGTTGTCGTCGTTGTAAACTTTTCACATTTTCATCTTCTCCTCAAGAACCACTGGGCCAATTTCAACCAAACTTGGCACAGAGTATCCTTGGGTGAAGGGGATTCAAGTTTGTTCAAATGAAGGGTCGCACCCTTTTCCAAGGGGAGATAATCATGAATTTGTTAAAAATTAATGGCATTTTTAAAAAATCTTCTTCTCCAGAACCGCTGGGCCAGGAAAGATGAAACTCATGTGGAATCATCCTCAGGTAGTGTAGATTCAAGTTTGTTCATATCATGACCCCTGGGGCAAGGGTGGGGCCAAAATGGCCGACCCAAGTTTTACATAGGAATATATAGGAAAAATCTTTAAAAATCTTCTTCTCAAGAACCACTGGGCCAGGAAAGATGAAACTCATGTGGAATCATCCTCAGGTAGTGTAGATTCAAGTTTGTTCATATCATGACCCCCGGGGCAAGGGTGGGGCCAAAATGGCCAACCAAGTTTTACATAGGAATATATAGGAAAAATCTTTAAAAATCTTCTTCTCGAGAACCACTGGGCCAGGAAAGATGAAACTCATGTGGAATCATCCTCAGGTAGTGTAGATTCAAGTTTGTTCATATCATGACCCCCGGGGCAAGGGTGGGGCCAAAATGGCCGACCCAAGATTTACATAGGAATATATAGGAAAAATCTTTAAAAATCTTCTTCTAGAGAACCACTGGGCCAGGAAAGATGAAACTCATGTGGAATCATCCTCAGGTAGTGTAGATTCAAGTTTGTTCAAATCATGACCCCCGGGGCAAGGGTGGGGCCAAAATGGCCGACCCAAGTTTTACATAGGAATATATTAGAAAAATCTTTAAAAATCTTCTTCTCCAGAACCACTAGGCCAGGAAAGATGAAACTCATGTGGAATCATCCTCAGGTAGTGTAGATTCAAGTTTGTTCAAATCATGACCCCCGGGGCAAGGGTGGGGCCAAAATGGCCGACCCTTGTTTTACATAGGAATATATTAGAAAAATCTTTAAAAATCTTCTTCTCGAGAACCACTGGGCCAGGAAATGAAACTCATGTGGAATCATCCTCAGGTAGTGTAGATTCAAGTTTGTTCAAATCATGACCCCCGGGGCTAGGGTGGGGCCAAAATGGCCGACCCTTGTTTTACATAGGAATATATAGGAAAAAGCTTTAAAAATCTTCTTCTCGAGAACCACTGGGCCAGGAAAGATGAAACTCATGTGGAATCATCCTCAGGTAGTGTAGATTCAAGTTTGTTCAAATCATGACCCCCGGGGCTAGGGTGGGGCCAAAATGGCCGACCCAAGTTTTACATAGGGATATATAGGGAAACTTTTTAGAATCTTCTTTTCAAGTACTTCAAAGCTATGATTAGTGATATTTATATGGAATCATCCTCAGGTAGTGTAGATTCTAATTTGTTCAAATGATGAACGCCTGGAGGGGGGGGATAAATTCAAGCCCGATGTGCTCAGGTGAGCGCTGTGGCCCCTGGGCCTCTTGTTCATGAATTGTTTTCAGATGAGTTCAAAGTTGAAAATGATGACTGCATTAAAATGAGATTTTCTGCACACCCAGAGAAAAATGCTTTTTTATAGAAATAAATTGATTTGGTAGCTAAAAGCTACCTCAGGTAGGTAAATAAGCTAAGTAGGTAAATCAAGCTACGTAGCTAAATCTAGTGATTGTACCAGACCTGTTGACATAATTGATTCATCACATCACCAAAGTCAATAAAGAGATCAGATGAAGAAATTTCCTCTATATTTCCTTGCTAATTTTTTGATATCTAAACCTTGACAAATGCTGTCAATATTAAGAATTTTATTTTAAATTATAATTTAATTTATAAAAAAAATACCTGTAGTAATCAATATGATACTTTCTATATAAAATATACATTGTTATCTAATGTTTGAAATAATGCTGTCCTATATTCATATCACTGCTGTATCAATTTTCAGTTTGGAACTGGTCAAACAACTAAACTAACCTGGAAACAGTTAAATTTACAAATTAAATCATTTAAATAACATATATTTTGCTGATCACTTATATACCAATTTTGTACCATACAGTATACAATTATGTTAATTTCAAAGATATAAGTCTTTGAGTAACCTTAAATTTCTTTTCTATAATTTGAAAAATTCATTTCAGGTGGATCAGAGGCAGTAACAGAAAAGGGATCTTCCTAGCCATAATGGCGACCAGGGTATTTATATAGAATTCTGAAAATTTGTAGAATAATCAATTCTGAAAATTTGTCATACTGATAGAATTGGTGAGAGCATGTATTATGATTAAGATTAATAAGTTAATCAACAGGGTGGTAGATAACTTTACAACTGTAGGGGCTATGTCATTGTATATGGACCCTATGTACTTTACAAGTTCAATACATAATGATTGTATATTACCCACCCGGATTGACTGTTTGGGGAACCCATAGTCCTACATTTATTTCCAATTACATGTGATATGAAAAAAACTGATCATTTGATTTTGTATCACATTTTATAAAGTGTAAACTGCCCCAACCCAGGTTATACAGTATAACTTGGGTAGCTATAAGTTTCTTTCCTTAATATACAATTCTCAAAAGAGCCTGAAATTAATTTCCCGTATATTTACAGTTGTTCACCTCACCTGGTAGAGTGACGGCCAACCTTCTGTATTTACAGTTAATCTCCCGTATATTTTCAGTTGTTCACCTCGCCTGGTAGAGTGACGGCCTACCTTCTGTATTTACAGTTAATTTCCCCGTATATTTTCAGTTGTTCACTTCGCCTGGTAGAGTGACGACGTACCTTCTGTATTCACAGTTAATTTCCTGTATATTTACAGTTGTTCACCTCGCCTGGTAGAGTGACGGCCTACCTTCTGTATTTACAGTTAATTTCCCCGTATATTTTCAGTTGTTCACTTCGCCTGGTGGAGTGACGGCGTACCTTCTGTATTCACAGTTAATTTCCCATATATTTACAGTTGTTCACCTCGCCTGGTAGAGTGACGGCCTACCTTCCTAACTTCAGGGCTGCTGTTCAACATTTCCGAAACTTTTCTTCATACGACAAACTACCAAACATCGAAATTGAAGACATTGACCCAGGTAATTATCATCTAAAATTGAAAGTTATAAAGTAATGTTTTAATAATGTAAGTCAAGTTCTTAATCCAGTGCTGTCACTTAAATTTCCATTATGTGGGGAAAGTTTATGATCTCAAATGAAATGTTATATCTATTGTAATTAATTTTCATTTTTATAGTTTTCAAAACATTTTTGAATTTTACACTCTTAAGTTTTTTTTTATATAGAAAAACATACAAAGAACTTAGGAGTGTTTGGACCTGGGGACAAACGATTCCCCCTGCCGGGGAAGATTGGGGTAAATGTTAGTAAGCCCAAAGTCCGCCCCACCCCCCTCAGTCCCAGCAGCTGCCCACAGGAACTCTTAAAAAATCACCTCCCCGAAGAGAGGCATTCAGAAGTGATGGAACAGATAATCAGTCAAATGGAGGAGGTATGTACACTTTTGTGAGGATTTTCACACTCATCAGATAGATTTTCTCACATCATAAACCCTTCACACCATGCACACGTATCTGTGATTGATTGTTGCAGTATCTCAAACTTGGACATGTTGCAATTACACTCAAATCAAATTGACAATAGAAGAAGAAATTTCTTCTTTTGTTGTAGTATGATGAAGAATTTTTAAGTGAAGCAGATAACAGTCCTATGGAGATGCTGGAATGTGTTGCTCAACCGTGTCCACAAATTCTTAGACGAGGTAAGTCAACCATGTCCACAGATCCTTAGATGGGGTAAGTCAACCATGACCACAGATCCCAGACAAGGTAAGTCAACCATGACCACAGATCCTCCAACAGGGTAAGTCAACCATGACCACAGATCCTCAAACAGGGTAAGCCAACCATGACCACAGATCCTCAAAAAGTGTAAGTCAACCGTGTCCACAAATCTTCAGATGAGGTAAATCAACCATGTTCACAAATCCCAGACAAGGTAAGTCAACCATGTCCACAGATCCTCAGACAGGGTAAGTCAACCATGTCCACAGATCCTCAAACAGGGTAAGTCAACCATGTCCACAAATCCTCAGACAAGATAAGTCAACCATGACCACAGATCCTCAGACAAGGTAAGTCAACCATGACCACAGATCCCAGACAAGGTAAGTCAACCATGTCCACAGATCTTCAAACAGGGTAAGTCAACCATGTCTACAGATCCTCAAACAGGGTAAGTCAACCATGTCCACAGATCCTCAGACAAGATAAGTCAACCATGACCACAGATCCCAGACAAGGTAAGTCAACCATGTCCACAGATCCTCAGACAGGGTAAGTCAACCATGACCACAGATCCCAGACAAGGTAAGTCAACCATGTCCACAGATCCTCAGACAGGGTAAGTCAACCATGACCACAGATCCCAGACAAGGTAAGTCAACCATGTCCACAGATCCTCAAACAGGGTAAGTCAACCATGTCTACAGATCCTTCAGATGGGGTAAGTAAACTATATCTACAGATCCTCAGACTGGGTAAAGTAAAGAATGTGTCTGATGTCAAATCCGATTTATCTGATATCTTTACATGTATCATTTGTGTTACTGTTGGACTGTTTTACTTACTATTGGATTCCTTCGATTGACACAGATATCCAGGAATTATTCCCAAGCCGGAACCTCTCCAGAGACACCCTTACCGTGATAACAATAAGCCACAGGACGTCACATGACATGAGTGGGTGGAGCGAGGGGGTGGAGGAGGAGAGGGAATTGTTGTTAGCCGCTGTAAGTCACAGACAGACAGACCCTCGTAGTTAACCATTTCTGATCCACTCTATCTTTGTGAGGCTATAGCCCATTGTGTTATCAAAAGATTTTTTCTGGAGGTTTGATGGGAGTTTATTGATATTCATTGAGTGAATTTTGAAGGTAGTCAATTAAAGTGACTCAGCTTGATTTTTTTTGGGGGGGGGGGGTAGGCTTTGTTATTTAGGGAATGAATAACTTCTGATAAAAATTGTTATCTATAATAAGTGACTGACGAACACACACACGTACATAATTCTCTGTTCAGAATTATTGATAGATATCATATGTTATAGACATAAACATTTGCGTGCTTCATAATGTTTTGAACTTTTCAGGGATATCTTAAATCATTTAGAGACATGCATACTTAATCATTTAAATTCCATTTGCTTCTCTAACTATGAAATGAGTTCGGAATTTGTTTCCTTATTTTCAGTTCATTAAAGGAGCTAGTGACATTTGTGAGGCATTAACCAATTGTGGATTCTGGGCTGATTTTATTGATCCTTCCTGTGGGAAACCGGTAAGTTTGTCACACTCTTTGGAGCTGATTTTGAAGCCAGCTGTTTGGACTCTTGATCACATCCTTGTTTGTGTCTTTTGAATTTTCTTATAAGGCAGTCCTTCAGTTACTGCATGAATGTTCCTTACTATTCTCATGTATTTTATTGATGAAATGAAGTTTTTAACTCATTTCATGCTTTGCATTTGTAGTATCTTAGTGAACATACAAACTCCACATTCTTTGAAACCGATGAAAGATACAGAAAACTAGGCTTTGAGATAGAAGACCTTGGGTGCTGTAAAGTTATCTCTCATCATCTGTGGGGGACACATGCTTATGTGGGAAGTCTGTTTACCACCGCACCCACAGATCATCCACTTATTGCATGCATGATACAGATTAAAGACCAGTCAGTCAAATCGAAAAAGGGAGGTAATTCAGCCTGTAAGGAAGACAACCAATCACAGCACTGTTAAACAGTGGAGCAGGAGAAATAGTGACCTTTGAACTTATTATTGTTTTGTGTTGATTACTCCAGGGAAAAGGAATGTGAAGGCTAAGCCTTATTATTGCTTTCTGTTTAAACAAGTGCTTGCTTTTGCATTTTTCCCTCTAATAAAAAAAAATCACTCAGGCCTCTTTTTTTTGTCAGTATCCAGTACCGGAGTCCTTATTGAATAAGCAGAATAAATTTACATGTACTGTAATAAATGTTTTAAATTGTTCCTGGTGGGTTTTTATATCAAACAAATATATCTCTTTAAACTAGGCTACAGGATTGGAAATTAAAAAAATCTGAGCTGAAACGTTTTAAAGAATCCTTCGACTTTTCAAATGAATAAAAGCACTAATAGTATTTTTAAAATCTACTGTATTAGATTCTACATTTGAAATTTACAATATAATTATTATTCTCGGATTTATTGAGATGGGGACTTTGCCCTTTGATAAAAAAAATCTTAATCAGCCCTTTGTCTGAAACATAACTTGACACAACTGAGAAGGTGATTGAAGCTGGTTATGGCATAGAGTGAATATTGGCAAAAGAATTTAGGTACAGATTTATTGTAGAGTTGAGAAAATAAATTTACCCCTTCATCTGTTTACACAGTACCTGGAGGAGTAGTCTGATTATGGTTATGACATCACACTGGTTTCCGTATACAGTGACTTATTGTAGATTTACATATACATGATAAAATAATGCATAGCGAGCTGCAGAACTGTAGCTTGAAAAAAAATCGAACAGATAAAGTAGATATACAGATACAAGCGTTTTAAAAACCTTCGATTTTTGCCGCCGCTTATTTGTAGCTCTCTCGGGATGTTTATGCTTTCCCCAGCTAAATAAGGTATCACATACATGTAATAAACCTTAGATTTAACTATTACATTTCCTAAACTGACATTCCAAACTCATAATCTAAGGGACTTTTGGACCGTTGAGAAGTTGCTTTCCCTTGCATTTAGAAAGTAATCCGATAATTAATCATATACTTTAATCATATAATTGATATTTATTTACCCCTCAACGGTCCGAAACAGTCCTGTATATTATAGTTTTAGAATGTCGATTTAAAAGTTCCTAATTTCGATGTCCGTAACCACAAATGGCCTTTTGAAACCTTTGAAAGGTAAGACTTACAGTTCTGCAGCTAAACATGAAATAACTATTTGTAAAACGCGATGAAAAGAAACTCGTGATTTGTGGTTGGGATATGATTTTATTCACACTGGTGTTCTTTTATTCCAAAAGGGATAAAATCGTACAGCTCATTGGAGAAAAAAATATCTATAGAACCACAACCATGGAAGATCTTATATACATCATGTACACTGTACATTTTTTCTTTTTTAGATCTATATGATCATGCCTTTGACATTTTTTCGGTATTATTGCTCAGTGTTAAGGAAAACTGTTCTGTGATCAATTACATTTATATCAATCTTATATTAATTCAAAACAGATGTACATCATATTAAAAAGTAACAGTTCCTTTAAATTTACATTTAATTAACTTACAACTAAATTCTAATTTCATATCTCAATAATTATACATACAGAATGTGATAAATTTTCTTTTTAAGTATTGGTGACATTAAAACACTTTAAGTATCTTAAAATGATTCTCAATACTTCCAGGCTCATCAAAAAAATGTCTGCCTTCCGTAATATTCCCATTTAATTTTTTTATTTTCTCCACAAACTTTTTTTCCTCTTTGCCAATCCATTTCCTAAGAGAATCGCGCACTTGATAAGGCGTTACATGTGCATAGATTTGAAGACCTTTGTGTACCATTGCTGATAAAACTGCGTCATCTGTTAACCACGCGTCCCTTTCACCCACGTGACCACTATCCAACCAATAAACAGAGGTTAGTCTGTCTACAATGTCCTTCACCTTGATGTCCTCAATTTTTGCACAAGAAAACATTTCAAACATTATTTGATTCAACACCACACAACCTTTGCTGAATCCAACCAATGAAATTGGAGGAGAATTGCTAGGAAGGGAATGATCCTGCGTCATTTGACGCATTGCATTGTGATAAAGATGAACAAGATGAGTCAAACCTTCTATTCCACTTTTACTTTCTGGATGATTACCAATGTACGGAATTCCGTCTTCGGTGAAACTTAAGAAATTCTTATAAATGCTAAATGTATAAAAAATCATTTTGGATGGTTTGACAATGAAAATGACGCTATCGGGAAATCGACGTGCAAGAATCCGTGCTGTGTTCTCCAAATTGTATTCCAAGTACTCTTGATTTCTGCTGGACGCCATGTCTTCTGGATATGTCTAAAAGTATAAAATATTATCAACATGTATATTTATTAGGTCACCTGAGTAAACTCAGGTGACCTATTGCTATCTGTTTTCGTCCGTCGTCGTTCGTCGTACGTTGTACGTCGTACGTCGTTCGTAAACTTTTGAACATTTTCAGCTTCTTCTCTGCAACCACTGAACCAATTTCAACCAAATTTGGCACAAAGCATCTATGGGTGAAGAGGAACAAAAATTGTGAATTTCATCCCTGCCCCCCTGGGGCCTGAGGGGTGGGGCCAAAACCACTACAATTAATGCAATCTTTAAAAATCTTCTTCTTTACTCCTTGACATCAAGCAGTCAAACTGTTTGCATGATTGTAATCAGCATTGAGTCCTCTACCAAAATTGTGAAATTCATGGCCCTGGGGTCAGGGGTTTTAGTGCTAGGGCAGGGCTTTAAGTAGGTAGTGATAATGCATTATTTCATTGAAAATCTTCTTCTCTGCTCCTGGGTATTAAATAAACCAACTAAGTAGTTAGTTATGATGAGCAAGAGTGCTTCTACCAAAATTGTGAATTTTATGGCCCCAGGGTCAGGGGTTCTGGTGTTAGGGTGGGGCTCTATTGATTATATACAGTGAAAATACATGATTTCTTTGAAAATCTTCTTCTCTGCCCCTGGGTATCAAATAAACTAACTAAGTGCATAGTTATGATGAGCAAGAGTGCCTCTAACAAAATTGTGAATTTTATGGTCCCAGGGTCAGGGGTTCTGGTAGGGGTTTATAGATTATATAGTAAAAATACATGAATTCTTTGAAAATCTTCTTCTCTGCTCCTAGATATTTATAAATAAATTAACTAAGTGCATAGTTATGATGAGCATGAGTGCCTCTATCAAAATTGTGAATTTTATGGCCCTAAAGAGTTCTGGTGTTAGGGGGGGGGCTCTATTGATTGTATAGTGAAAATACACGATTTCTTTGAAAAAATCTTCTTCTATGCTCCTCGTTATTATATAAACTAACTAATTGAATTGTTATGATGAGCAAGAGTGCCTCTACCAAAATTGTGAATAATTTTATGGTCCCTGGGTCAAGGCTTCTGGTGTTGGGGGGGGGGGGGGGTTTATAGATTATATAGTAAAAATACATGAATTCTTTGAAAATCTTCTTCTCTGCTCCTAGATATTAAATAAACTAACAAAGTGCATAGTTAAGATGAGCAAGAGTGCCTCTACCAAAATTGTGAATTTTATGGTCCCAGGGTCAGGGGTTCTGGTGTTAGGGCGGGGCTCTATTGATTATATAGTAAAAATACATGAATTTTTTTAAATCTTCTTCTCTGCTCCTAGGTATTAAATAAACTAACTAAGTACATAGTTATGATGAGCAAGAGTGCCTCTACCAAAACTGTGAATTTTATGGTCCCAGGGTCAGGGGTTTGGGGGGGGGGGGGGGGGGGGCTCTATTGATTATATAGTGAATATACATTATATCTTTGAAATATTTTCTTCTCTGTCACTGGGTATGAAGCAGATGAACTACCTAAATAGTTATGGTGAGCAAGGGCCCTAATCTTGCAAAATTTTGAATTTCACGGCCCCAGGGTGTGGGGGGGGGGTGGGCCTCTACTTATATACTGAAAATGAATTAATTGTTTGAAATCTGCTCCCTTGTATTTATAAAACATTTATTTATTTTTTGATAAACAATTTTAACGGTGCCTTTTTAAAATTTGTGCAATGTGTGGACCTAGGGTCAGGGGTTTATTTCACAGTGTTAGGGGCATTACTGATTATTGCTGAATATTACAGATCAGTTGGAATGCATTTTTTCCCCCTACCTTGCGTATGGGTATCAGTACCCTTGCGAGGTGATTATGAATAATTCATGAATTTCCTTGAATTTTTCATGCATTTTATTCATGAAATGTTCATGAAACGTTCATGAAGATCCTATGAACTTATTATTGGGCATATTTAAATCAATAAACCAACCTAAGCAACTGCTAAGTGTATTTCTATGATGATCAATGGTGCCTCTTTCAAAATTGTGAATGCCATATAGCATCTGGCTTAAAACATGAATCAAATTCAATAACTGGAAAGTTGTTGCAGAATGCTCAGGTGACCTATAAGGCCCGTGGGCCTCTTGTTTTATAAAATTCCTACCACTATTTCTAGATTAAAGACTTACTTTCTGACCGCTGATGATAGAAATAAAAATCGTGGCCACAACTGTATTTAGAGTACACAAATGTATAATCATATTTGGTACATTACAAGATCTAAATCAGGTTTATAACTACACTTGTACATTTATTTTACCCTTTGTGTATATGTGTGTGGGGTGGGGGGGGGGGGTTAAAATGTTTACTGAATTACTTTAGTATTTGAAAGAATTGAACAAACATTTAAATTCAGAATTCAGTTGTAAAAAGTATCAAACAGACACATTTTCAAAATTATTTAGATACATAGCATACTTGTATTTTGCCTGCAAAACAAATTACTGTGAATATCAGTAACATTTTATAGTAAACATTTTTTATACATGCATTGATTTACCCAAAAAAAATTTTTAAGTTTGCATAATATTGCTCTTTTTTTGTTAACACAAAACAATGGAGCAAAGAGTATGATTTTAAATTGTTTGGATAAATATGATACTGTACTAGTTCTCATAAAAATAAATATTGTGTTGAAAGCTAGGTTTTAAGTAAGCAAGAGCTGAAATTTAAACAAAATTCCCCACGGTCACCCCTTGCACCACCTAACTCAACTGGCTCCACCCCTCACAACACCTGACTCGATCAACTGGCTTCACCTCTTACACCACCTGACTCAACTGGCTCCACCCCTTACACCACCTGACTCAACTGGCTCTATCCTATCACCTGACTCAACTGGCTCCACCCCTTACACCACCTGACTCAACTGGCTCTATCCTATCACCCGACTCAACTGGCTCCATCCCTTACACCACCTGACTCAACTGGCTCCACCCCCTACACCACCTTACTCAACTGGCTCCGCCAATTCACCTTTAATATATGAAACTCCATTTTGGAGACTTGACATACTCCGCATTTTACATCATGCCAGCATAGGAGTCGGCAATTTTATCAATAAATAGAAAATAAATGGTAAACAGGCATAAAAAATCCTACCAGTGAGCTTCGCGAGCGTAGCGAGCTACGCTCGCGAAGCTCATTGGTAGGATTTACGCCTGTTTACCATTTATTTTCTACTTATTGACAAAATTGCCGACTCCTGTGATGCCAGCCTATAAATTGTAACCCCGTACCGTTGACAAGGAGAAGACCACCCCTCCCAGAAACTTCCCCAGTTCCGCGCTAGTGCATCATTGAAACCAACGATCAGTTTTACATCTTGTTACGCCTTTTTATTCATTTTTTAAAATTTATTTTAAAGTAACATTTCTCTAGAAAATTCGAGCCTTAGCATACCCACTCAGCTTACCTGCACATCTCCTCCAAAAAATAAAACGTGTTGTTTCTCTTGACCTGTGATTTCTGAGGATGGACATACAATGACGTCATTCTGTTTCCACTCCAGTCCTGGAACATCAATCAGTCTACGTACCTCTTTTCGCCGACTCGAGTCTGCTTGATTGGTTGCCATTACAGACGGGAATATATTTTCGTGTAGTACTGTAGGAAGCGGTCAGACTAAATACCGATATATACCACGCAAACAGCCATTTGTTTCCCAATGGTGACACTTTCACTGAATCGCTAAAATTATCCTTTTTTTTTTACTTTGACAAATAACTTCTATAATATAAACAATAATTTACCTTTTTACATTTCATTGAGAAATGAGAAATGACAGATTATTTTAAGAAGGTAATGGCTCACAGGCACCAAACTCGCTTGATTTTTTTACCCCCTAGTATACTCTTTAATATAATATACTAGGGGATCAAAAATTCAGGCGAGTTTGGTGCCTGTGTAATGACTCTCCTCAGTTCAGCGAATTTACTTTGACCCATTGGAGGATTTGTTCTTCCTTTGTTGTTGTTGTTTTGTTTTGTTTTGTTTTTTTGTTTTTAGCTCTTCTGAGCCAAAGGCTCAAAGAGCTAATGCTATGGCCATTTGTGCGGTGTGCGTCGTGCGGTGTGCGGTGTGCGTTAACTTTTTAGAATATGGGCCATAACTCAAGAACCTCTTTGCCAATCATTGTCAAATTTGTCACAGGGTATCCTTGGCCCAAGGGCTACCATTTTTACTTAATAAACTAGGGGTGGGACCCTAAAACAAGGGGGAGATAATCAGGATATTAATATCAAAATTACTGGTTGCTAAAAAATCTCCTCCTCCAGAACCACAAGGCAGATTTTCACCAAACTTACATACAAGGGTCGGGATATGTTGAAGATTAAAAATTGTTCAAGGCATCACCCTGAAAGGGCGTGGTCTCAAGGTCACTTCAAAGTTGACCAAAATTTACATCTATTAAAAACGTTGATATTTTGCTGACTATAAGGACTAGGATCATCAAATCTTGTAAGTTGATGCATCTCAGGACTTCACATTAATACAAAAGTAGGTCACGGTGACCTACTTTTTAAATTTTACGGGCTTTTGTTTTCAAATTGATTTTGAGGCATATTTTGGCACTTTAAGGCCTATGATCATAAAACTTTGTCAGTTGGTGCATCTTGGGTCCACAAACAACGTCAACATAAAAGTAGGTCACCTTGACCTTTTTTTGAATTTTATGACTAATCCTTTTTAAAACATTTAATCATATTATTTCAGACACTGAAAGGTTTAGAATCATCAAATTTTGTAAGTTGATGCATCTTGAAATCTTAAACCATATCTATTAAAAAAAAGTCACAATGACATACTTTTTGAACTTTGCAGGCATTTGTTTCCTAATTGTTTAAAAGGCATATTTTGATTACCTTGAGACCTACGATCATCAAATTTTGTCAGTTGACGCATCTTTTGTCTTCAGAAAATTTTGACTAAAAAGTAGGTCACAGTGACCTGCTTTTGACATTTTATGGCTATATTTACTGTGTATCTTACTTATTGGCTTAGAATCATCAAACTTTGTCAGTTGATGCATCTTAGGTTTTCAAAATTCTATTAGGTCACGGTGACCTATTTTTGAATTTTATGGCTAGATTTATGTATCAAAGGTACTTATTGGCTTAGAATCACCAAACTTTGTCAGTAGATGCATCTTAGGTTTTCGGAGCAATTTTGCCAAAAAGTAGGTCACAGTGACCTACTTTTGAATATCTCAGGTACTGATTGGCTTAGAATCATCAAACTTTGTCAGTAGATACATCTTGGGTTTTCTGAGAATGTCAACCAAAAAGAAGGTCACAGTGACCTACTTTTGACATTTTATGGCTATATTTAGGTATCTCGGGTACTTATTGGTTAAGAATCATCAAACTTTGTTATGTGAAGCATCTTGGGTTCTTAGAATGATCATGAAAAAGGTCAAACCTAATTGTGACATTTATGGCTATATTTAAGTATTCTAGGGTACATTGGCTTAGAATTGTCAGACTTTGTCAGTTGATGCACCTTGGGTTTTCAGAGAATGTTGACCAATAAGTAGGTCACTGTGACCCACTTTTGGATATCTCAAGTACTTATTGACTTAGAATCATCAATCTTTGTCAATTAATGCATCTTGTGTCCTCAGGAAATTTCAATCCAAAAGTAGGTCACCATGACCTACTTATAGTATTTTACAGTTACATTTAAATATCTTCAGCCCTAACTGGCTAAGAATCATCAAACTTTGTCAGTTGATGCATCTTGGGTCTTCGGATAGATTGTATCATTTATCAGAAGAGCAATTCAAGGCCCTTGGGCCTCTTGTTGTTTTTCTTTGTTACAGTCGGGAATTCAACGTCATCATTTTTGAAAAGGGTAGCCCAGAGAAAATAACTTGACACTTGCCTGAACAAACTCGAAAATCCTATTCGTGTGTTGGGGAGGTTGAGTTCCACCTAACTTTTAAAATATTTTTTTTAATTAAATAGACTACTACAATTGGGGATGGGCTGGGGTGGGGTGATTTAACAGAATTTGTCTAGAGAGAGGGGTGGGTGGGTTAGAGGGATGGAATTTTGACTCCCCCCCCCCACCACCACCACCCCAAAAAATAAGGACTACATGCGTGCAATCACGTAGATTTATTTAGAAAATTTTACAACACTTCTAAAAAAAATGTATTTACCCTCGTGACTGACTGCATGACTAAATGGCACAACTCAAAACTTTTAACCTCTATCGAACATGTACACTTTTTACATTCGTTCTGCAACTTTCAAGAAAGCATTTCAATCCACCTAGGCTATTCTCCAAGGGAAAGTCTTAATCAAGTGGTTTATCAAAATGACAGTAGATATTATTTCAATTTCTGTATTATATACATTCAACTATCTTCATGAATGTTTATATAACTAATCTGTCAAGTCCACTTTGGGTATGATCAGGAAAATATGCCCCCCCCCCCTTCAAGTAAATCATAGCCATTTCACTCTGTTCGTGTTACTTGCCTTTATACGATATGTTATACATGTATATGTACAATGAAACCACGAAATTTAGGCGATAAAAACCTTCTTTTTTAATGCCGTTGAAGCTAATACACTTATTTAATAAAACATTTCAAAGAAAAGGCGTAAAGAATTTCGGTTTGCGGAAGTGGATTGAAATGCAGTTTGAAATTTGAATTTCAATCCAATGTTTTCTCGGCCGTCCGCGTCGTATGAAACGCGGACGGCCGAGAAAACATTGATGTTTTCTCCGACGTCGGCCTTGAGTGTATTGCGGACGGCCGAGAAAACACTGGATTGAAATGCAACTTTCAAGAAAGCATTTCAATCCACCTAGGCTATTCTCCAAGGGAAAGTCTTAATCAAGTGGTTTATCAAAATGACAGTAGATATTATTTCAATTTCTGTATTATATACATTCAACTATCTTCATGAATGTTTATATAACTAATCTGTCAAGTCCACTTTGGGTATGATCAGGAAAATATGCCCCCCCCCCCCCCCCCCCTCTTCAAGTAAATCATAGCCATTTCACTCTGTTCGTGTTACTTGCCTTTATACGATATGTTATACATGTATATGTACAATGAAACCACGAAATTTAGGCGATAAAAACCTTCTTTTTTAATGTCGTTGAAGCTAATACACTTATTTAATAAAACATTTCAAAGAAAAGGCGTAAAGAATTTCGGTTTGCGGAAGTGGATTGAAATGCAGTTTGAAATTTGAATTTCAATCCAATGTTTTCTCGGCCGTCCGCGTCGTATGAAACGCGGACGGCCGAGAAAACATTGATGTTTTCTCCGACGTCGGCCTTGAGTGTATTGCGGACGGCCGAGAAAACACTGGATTGAAATGCAACTTTCAAGAAAGCATTTCAATCCACCTAGGCTATTCTCCAAGGGAAAGTCTTAATCAAGTGGTTTATCAAAATGACAGTAGATATTATTTCAATTTCTGTATTATATACATTCAACTATCTTCATGAATGTTTATATAACTAATCTGTCAAGTCCACTTTGGGTATGATCAGGAAAATATGCCCCCCCCCCCCCTTCAAGTAAATCATAGCCATTTCACTCTGTTCGTGTTACTTGCCTTTATACGATATGTTATACATGTATATGTACAATGAAACCACGAAATTTAGGCGATAAAAACCTTCTTTTTTAATGCCGTTGAAGCTAATACACTTATTTAATAAAACATTTCAAAGAAAAGGCGTAAAGAATTTCGGTTTGCGGAAGTGGATTGAAATGCAGTTTGAAATTTGAATTTCAATCCAATGTTTTCTCGGCCGTCCGCGTCGTATGAAACGCGGACGGCCGAGAAAACATTGATGTTTTCTCCGACGTCGGCCTTGAGTGTATTGCGGACGGCCGAGAAAACACTGGATTGAAATGCAACTTTCAAGAAAGCATTTCAATCCACCTAGGCTATTCTCCAAGGGAAAGTCTTAATCAAGTGGTTTATCAAAATGACAGTAGATATTATTTCAATTTCTGTATTATATACATTCAACTATCTTCATGAATGTTTATATAACTAATCTGTCAAGTCCACTTTGGGTATGATCAGGAAAATATGCCCCCCCCCCCCCCCCTCTTCAAGTAAATCATAGCCATTTCACTCTGTTCGTGTTACTTGCCTTTATACGATATGTTATACATGTATATGTACAATGAAACCACGAAATTAAGGCGATAAAAACCTTCTTTTTTAATGTCGTTGAAGCTAATACACTTATTTAATAAAACATTTCAAAGAAAAGGCGTAAAGAATTTCGGTTTGCGGAAGTGGATTGAAATGCAGTTTGAAATTTGAATTTCAATCCAATGTTTTCTCGGCCGTCCGCGTCGTATGAAACGCGGACGGCCGAGAAAACATTGATGTTTTCTCCGACGTCGGCCTTGAGTGTATTGCGGACGGCCGAGAAAACACTGGATTGAAATGCAACTTTCAAGAAAGCATTTCAATCCACCTAGGCTATTCTCCAAGGGAAAGTCTTAATCAAGTGGTTTATCAAAATGACAGTAGATATTATTTCAATTTCTGTATTATATACATTCAACTATCTTCATGAATGTTTATATAACTAATCTGTCAAGTCCACTTTGGGTATGATCAGGAAAATATGCCCCCCCCCCCTCTTCAAGTAAATCATAGCCATTTCACTCTGTTCGTGTTACTTGCCTTTATACGATATGTTATACATGTATATGTACAATGAAACCACGAAATTTAGGCGATAAAAACCTTCTTTTTTAATGCCGTTGAAGCTAATACACTTATTTAATAAAACATTTCAAAGAAAAGGCGTAAAGAATTTCGGTTTGCGGAAGTGGATTGAAATGCAGTTTGAAATTTGAATTTCAATCCAATGTTTTCTCCGACGTCGGCCTTGAGTGTATTGCGGACGGCCGAGAAAACACTGGATTGAAATGCAACTTTCAAGAAAGCATTTCAATCCACCTAGGCTATTCTCCAAGGGAAAGTCTTAATCAAGTGGTTTATCAAAATGACAGTAGATATTATTTCAATTTCTGTATTATATACATTCAACTATCTTCATGAATGTTTATATAACTAATCTGTCAAGTCCACTTTGGGTATGATCAGGAAAATATGCCCCCCCCCCCCCCTTTCAAGTAAATCATAGCCATTTCACTCTGTTCGTGTTACTTGCCTTTATACGATATGTTATACATGTATATGTACAATGAAACCACGAAATTTAGGCGATAAAAACCTTCTTTTTTAATGCCGTTGAAGCTAATACACTTATTTAATAAAACATTTCAAAGAAAAGGCGTAAAGAATTTCGGTTTGCGGAAGTGGATTGAAATGCAGTTTGAAATTTGAATTTCAATCCAATGTTTTCTCGGCCGTCCGCGTCGTATGAAACGCGGACGGCCGAGAAAACATTGATGTTTTCTCCGACGTCGGCCTTGAGTGTATTGCGGACGGCCGAGAAAACACTGGATTGAAATGCAACTTTCAAGAAAGCATTTCAATCCACCTAGGCTATTCTCCAAGGGAAAGTCTTAATCAAGTGGTTTATCAAAATGACAGTAGATATTATTTCAATTTCTGTATTATATACATTCAACTATCTTCATGAATGTTTATATAACTAATCTGTCAAGTCCACTTTGGGTATGATCAGGAAAATATGCCCTCCCCCCCCCCCCCTCTTCAAGTAAATCATAGCCATTTCACTCTGTTCGTGTTACTTGCCTTTATACGATATGTTATACATGTATATGTACAATGAAACCACGAAATTTAGGCGATAAAAACCTTCTTTTTTAATGCCGTTGAAGCTAATACACTTATTTAATAAAACATTTCAAAGAAAAGGCGTAAAGAATTTCGGTTTGCGGAAGTGGATTGAAATGCAGTTTGAAATTTGAATTTCAATCCAATGTTTTCTCGGCCGTCCGCGTCGTATGAAACGCGGACGGCCGAGAAAACATTGATGTTTTCTCCGACGTCGGCCTTGAGTGTATTGCGGACGGCCGAGAAAACACTGGATTGAAATGCAACTTTCAAGAAAGCATTTCAATCCACCTAGGCTATTCTCCAAGGGAAAGTCTTAATCAAACGGTTTATCAAAATGACAGTAGATATTATTTCAATTTCTGTATTATATACATTCAACTATCTTCATGAATGTTTATATAACTAATCTGTCAAGTCCACTTTGGGTATGATCAGGAAAATATGCCCCCCCCCCCCCCCCTTCAAATGAATCATAGCCATTTCACTCTGTTCGTGTTACTTGCCTTTATACGATATGTTATACATGTATATGTACAATGAAACCACGAGATTTAGGCGATAAAAACCTTCGTTTTTAATGTCGTTGAAGCTAATACACTTATTTAATAAAACATTCCAACGAAAAGGCGTAAAGAATTTCGGTTTTCAGAAGTGGATTGAAATGCAGTTTGAAATTTGAATTTCAATCCAGTTTTCTCGGCCATTCGCGTCGTATAAAGCGCGGACGGCGGAGAGAAAGCATTTCAATCCACCTAGGCTATTCTCTGAGAGAAAGTATTAATGGTTCATCAAAGGACAGTAGATATGATTTTAATTTCTATATTGAATGCATTCAACTCTGTTCATGAATGTGTAAGTAATCTGTAATGCTGTTTAAAATTTGAATTTCAATCCAAAGTTTTCTCGCCTTCATCCGACGTCAGCATTGAGTGTATTGCGGACGGCAGAGAACACATATTTCTGTATAATTTATGAGATCCATGACTCACATACTTTGTTTACAATGTATTCTATAATGAGAAAATAATAAAAGTCTGTCAAATAATGTATTTATTCTGCAAAGATATACTTCACCACTTTCAGAAAACAATGATTTTTACACACCCTTATTATACAAACTTGAATTATTTCAACCAAACTCAACATTTAATAAACATTGCACATCATGAAGGTAGCTCTTTTCACTAGCTTAACTCTCTCTCTCTCCACATTCAATCACTCCCCTCTCAGTATCAATTGTTCCATTATCAGCACCACTCTCACCCATTTTTAACCCCACCATTAATTTTTACGCTTCAAATTTTTGCTGGTCACTGGGGCTACAAACTTCACTCTAATGTTCATGGCGGCAATTTCAGCTAATATGCCCAGTTAGTATTAATGGTACACAAAAGGAACGTGGTGACAATCTGAACAGAGTCTGTTTTTTGATATTACAAAAGGATTTCCATCTCTGACCTTTTCTGAATTCTGCTAGAGGTTGTGTATGCCCAAAAGGGCCTCTCCAATGGGAGAAAATATTACTGCCACAGTCCATACACACATGTGCCTGAATGAAATGGGACTTTCTAGGAATGCACAATTTAATTATCGCCCGTGTTGATATAGGTATCAGATAACTTCATAGCTCTATTGTTGGTAATTAATTGTAATGAAATAATAAAACGCACATTAAAGTGTGTCAAATCATGGAAGTATTCTGCACTTATTTTACACGGGTGCATTCTTGTTTATTAGTATCAAGGGAAGTTTCTTTTAACATCAACTTTCAATTTAAAGTCAAGATTCTAGTAAAAAATTGCTTACAGATTTATCAATTTTGAGAAATAATTTCCTTTATTGCACACGCTTTCTCTTTAGCTTGGTCAAATAATTTGTTTCGGTATCAATTGTGTATTATCAGCACCACTCTCAAACTTTTTGACCCCAACTGTGTATTTTTAATGAAAACCAGTCTGCTAACTGGGGCCACATCTAACTTCACTCTAATGTTCATGGCAGCAAGTTCAGCTACCAGGTATCGGAACACAAAAGGAATGGTGACAATCTGAACAGAGTCTGTTTTCTTGCAGGCCCGACATTTCCATCGTCTGACCTTTTCTGAGACGTCTGCTACTGATCCCATAGAGGGCCTCTCCAGATAGGGAGATAAAATACTGCCACAGTCCATACACACATGTGCCTGAATGAAATGGGAAGGAGGATCTCAATGTAATGAACGTCTAGACAGAGTATCATCAACTTCATAGCTGTATTGTTGGTAGCATTTTGTAATGATAATAAAACGCATCCCATTAAAATGTGACATGCATGGAAGTATTCTGAACTTATTTTACATTGTGCATTCTTTTTCCTTAGTTTGAGGGAAGTTTCCAGTTTCTAAATCAACTTAATTTAAAGTCAAGATCTAGTAAATGAAAGGTGCCTACAGATTTATCAAACTTGAGAAATAAATTCCTTTATTGATGCTTTACAACTTTAGCTTGGTCAAATAAGGTGTTTCGGGGCATAATTTGTAGGTAAACAAGATGAAAATATGTATTTGAAACTGTTATTTTTAATGAAAACCAGTCATGAAAATCTGAGTTTTTTTTCGTATTCGGCAAAGGAAATGTATCCAGATTGCCTACAGTCTCTCAGAAAACGGTAATTAGTATGTTCATAGCCTCTTCTTTAAATTAATATCAAATTTAATATAGGTATCCAGTTTACTTTTCAAATGATTTCAAATTGAATGACATGAAAATACCCTATTTTCTACATAATTCTGCTAAAGCCGTAAAGTACGGGAAAAAGAAAGTTGGAAATTGATTATGACGTCATAATGGATCCAGCACCAAAAAATTAGTCTCAGGTTATTTACTAGATCTTGACCTTCCTTTTTTAAAAGCAGTTTTCATGCACATGTCTTGCAAAGAAATCACTATTGCTTAATAAATTCAAAAACAATCCACATACATGTACAAGTAATGTTTAAAATCACTTTATAAATTCTGATGCCATGAGAATTAAGGCAGAGTAACCAACTTAACCTTACTGGCATTATACATACCCAAATTATAAAGAATTTTTTGGTAAACTATTTAACAAAAATTTTGCAATTGGTTGCAAACGACATTTTGATCAAATATTACCCTGGAGATATCACTGCAGTCCAGTTGTTAGTCATAATTTTTATGGATTCTTACCCTGGAGATATCACTGCAGTCCAGCAGTCTATCTAAGTTTTTATGCATTCTTACCTAGGAGATATCACTGCAGTCCAGCAGTCAATCACAGTTTTAAAGGATTCTTACCCTGGAGATATCACTGCAGTCCAGTAGTCAATCACAGTTTTAAAGGATTCTTACCCTGGAGATATCACTGCAGTCCAGTAGTCAGTCACATTTTAAAGGATTCTTACCCTGGAGATATCACTGCAGTCCAGTAGTCAATCACAGTTTTAAAGGATTCTTACCCTGGAGATATCACTGCAGTCCAGTAGTCAATCACAGTTTTAAAGGATTCTTACCCTGGAGATATCACTGCAGTCCAGTAGTCAATCACAGTTTTTATGTATTCTTACCCTGGAGATATCACTGCAGTCCAGTAGTAAGTCACATTTTAAAGGATTCTTGCACTGGAGATATCACTGCAGTCCAGCAGTCAATCACAGTTTTAAAGGATTCTTACCCTGGAGATATCACTGCAGTCCAGTAGTCAATCACAGTTTTAAAGGATTCTTACCCTGGAGATATCACTGCAGTCCAGTAGTCAATCACAGTTTTAAAGGATTCTTACCCTGGAGATATCACTGCAGTCCAGTAGTCAGTCACATTTTAAAGGATTCTTACCCTGGAGATATCACTGCAGTCCAGTAGTCAGTCACATTTTAAAGGATTCTTACCCTGGAGATATCACTGCAGTCCAGTAGTCAATCACAGTTTTAAAGGATTCTTACCCTGGAGATATCACTGCAGTCCAGCAGTCAATCACAGTTGTTATGTATTCTTACCCTGGAGATATCACTGCAGTCCCGCAGTCAATCACAGTTTTTATGTATTCTTACCCTGGAGATATCACTGCAGTCCAGCAGTCAATCACAGTTTTTATGTATTCTTACCCTGGAGATATCACTGCAGTCCAGTAGTCAGTCACATTTTAAAGGATTCTTACCCTGGAGATATCACTGCAGTCCAGCAGTCAATCACAGTTTATATGTATTCTTACCCTGGAGATATCACTGCAGTCCAGTAGTCTGTCTTTAAGGAGATAGGACGTTCCATGTGAAATGAGGGCATCCCTCTCCATTTCTCCAAACCTGACCCCGCCCCCTCTCTTACGACCTTTGACCGGCTGCTGAGTGATGGGGTCAACAGGACCAGTGGTTCTGACCTAACATTCAACATAGGAAGACTTCAATTTTTAATAATTCATCTCAACATAATTAGTATTCATTTCAGTATGCATTACTTTGTTTTCTCTTTGCTAGAATGAAAATGGGTGACAGAGAGAAATATCATTTTTGTTCTCTTGTTTTAGTTTTTCCATGCAGCTACCTGGAATTTATCTGACACCATGTGTCTGAGTCTCTGATAGTAAACCACTCCAATAAAGATGTCTGCCTCCAGTTCCAGTCCATTCACACCACTAAACAACCTCTCTGTACCATGGTAATTATAACCAGCTGTAAAAAGAAACAAAATGATACACCACTGAACAATTTCTCTGTACCATGATAACTAGAAAACTGACCAGTCAGCAAGGGCCCGCTGAGGGGTAGAAATATAAGAGTGCAACTCACTGAATGAGAGTTTTACTTGATTATATTTTTAAACAAGAGGCCCACAGGCCTTATAGGTCACCTGAGTATCATGTAACAACTTTCCAACAATTGAATTTGATTCGTGTTTTAAACCAGGGGCCATGAAATTCACAATTTTGAAAGAGGCAGCATTGCTTATCATAATTATAAACTTGGCATACTTACGCTATTTACTTAATATCTGAAGGTAGATCAGAGCAACAAAGAGAAAATGCACTTCCACTTTATAACCCCAACTTTGTGCACCCCACCCCAAAGGAACCACTGACCCTGGAGCCACAGATTTCAAAATTTTGGAAATTTTATCATAAATTTTATTTCATCATAAATGGTTGATTAATACCAAAGAGCAGATTTCAAAGCATTAATTTATTTTCAGACTATGTAACCCCCCCCCCCCCCTCCGATACCTCTGACCCAGGGGGCATGAAATTAACCATTTTGCTAGATGCACATTTTTTCATCATAAATATATATACTTGGATCATCAGCATAATACCCAGGAGCAAAGGAAAAGATTTTCAAAGAATAAATGCATTTTCACTATATAATCAAAAGAGCCCCCCCCCCCTTACACCAAATGGCAAAACCTCTGACACAGGAGCCATGAAATTCACAATTTTGAAAGAGGCACTCTTGCTCATCATAACTATGTACTTAGTTAGTTTATTTAATACCCAGGAGCAAAGAAGAAGATTTCAAAGAATTAATGCATTTTCACTATATCATCAATAGAGCCCCACCCTAGCACTAGAACCCCTGACCCTGGGGCCATGAATTTCACAATTTTGGAAGAGGACTCAATAGATATAACATTCATGCTAACAGTTTGCCTGCTTGATGTCCAGGAGTAAAGAAGAAGATTTTTAAAGATTTCATTGATTTTAGTGGTTTTGGCCCCACCCCTCAGGCCCCAGGGGGGCAGGGACCATGAAATTCACAATTTTTGTTCCCCTTCACCCATAGATGCTGTATACAATATTTGGTTGAAATTGGTTTAGCAGTTTCAGAGAAGAAGCTGAAACTGTTCAAATGTTAACACACAACGGACGACGCACGACGAAAACAGATAGCAATAGGTCACCTGAGTGACTCAGGTGACCTAAAAAAATATATATATGAAAATTATAAGTAAGAACTGTATTTTTAAATTTTCAAGATAATTCCTGAATGTCTAAAAAAAAACCCTGTAAATAGCAAACTTGTATTTACACAAGAGGCCCACGGGCCTTATAGGTCACCTGAGTATCATGTAACAACTTTCCAGCGATTGTATTTGGTTCGTGTTTTAATCCAAAAGCCATGAAATTCACAAATTTTGAAAGAGGCACCATTGCTTATCAAAGGGCAGATTTCAAAGCATTAATTTATTTTTAGTCAAAGTACCCCCCTGGTATCCCTGACCCAGCAGTCCTGAAATTATCTATTTTGAAAGAGGCCCCTTTCTTCATTATAAGGCCAGCATTTTTTTTAATGTTTAGGTTTAGTTCTGAACATGAGAACAAAAAAGTCCCAAAGGAGAAGGAAATAAAAAAATTTTTTGATAAATCAATTATTAACATTTGTACATTCTTTTTTTATGCTATCCTAATAGGCTCCTTACCACTGGACACATAATGCTTACAAATAGGAAAGTAGAACATTTAATTGCTTATTTCATCATCTGCCAGTTTGGGCCAGTTATATAAATTTTGTGATGTTGATCAAAATATATTTTAAAAAATCAATTCTTTAGAAGTCTTTCAATATATCTTCATTTTTTGAATATGTGTTAGGTGAATGTGTAGACATTGTTCTAAAATTTACTTGATCTCTAAAATTATAATTCCTATCATAAAACAGACAGGGAGTATTGGGGATTAGGGTGAACATTTTTTCAATTAAGTGTAAAATAATTTTTCTGGCTGATACAAATGATACTATATGCCTGTATATATTTGTATATTCTTGCCTTTTAATAGTTGAATTTTTTTTTATTTCTTCAAGTTATTGTTTATTTCTTCCTCAAATGGACTTAACTTCTCCCATAGTTTTATTCATTATATTCATTACATCTGATGCATAAGCAACCCTTTCCTGAAGAATGATGCTTAGACTGTAAGCTATAACAGAGACCTAAACAATGTCGCTGGCAATATGCAATAGCTACCACGGGCAGTTTAAAACCTGGGGGAGGAAAATAATTTACAGACAGTTACTTTTGAAACGAATACATAATTATCTCACCAGCATGATATTGTGCAACAAAGTCGTCAGCATTTTATTTGTCCTTTGAACGGGTGAAACGTTTTGAATGGCACTCTTATCGATGAATTTTACACTAAACCAAGCTATCTTCTCAGCTTTATTTACCCGCCGTTTCATCGTAAAACTGGAAGTGCGAGTTCGTAAATTTGAAATCTCGATCCCGACTCAAATTTGACATCGGAAAGAATTTTTTAAAATTTTTTCTGAAAATTCAAAACCTTGAGCGGAGGGTTTGTAAAACTGAAAATAAAATAAATCCTGGCCTTAAATATGTAATTAGATCATTAGCATGTTAACCAGGTGCAAAGGATAAGATGTTCAAAGAAATCATGCATTTCACTATATATCATTAGAGCCCCACCCTAAAACAAGAACCCCTGACCCTGGGGCCATAAAATTCACAATTTTGGTAGAGGCACTATTGCTCATTATAACTATGTACTTAGTTAGTTTATTTAATACCCAGAAGCAGAGAAGAAGATTTTCAAATAATTCATGTATTTTCACTATATAATCAATAGAGCCCCGCCCTAACACCAGAACCCCTGACTCTGGGGCCATAAAATTCACAATTTTGGTAGAGGCACTCTTGCTCATCATAACTATGTACTTAGTTGGTTTATTTAACCCTTTGTGTGCGGGAACCCAATATATTGGGTCTGACGTCACAAACGCTACCGTGCGGGAACCCAATATATTGGGTCTGAGTGTGGAATTAGCGCTTCGTAACATAAAACGTTGTATAAAACGTATAAATGAGTTGTGAATTACTAAGAATCTATCAATATGCATTATAAAACCATAATACATTGAAAAATAGGTAATTAAGATGTGAAAATATGCGAATTATTTTTGAAATTGTGATTTAAAGTGAAGGTGTTGGCGTTTGTTACGAAGAAAGTCAGTCCGCTATTTTTGGAAACAGGGAAAAAACGCGCATGTAATAAATATCTACTAACTAGCTCTAACATAATGAAAAATAAAGAAATAAATCCCCAGAATAGTCAAATATTAATAATTCTAATAAATTTGAGCTAGTAGACATAAAATTACATAGAAATTGTCGATATTTTAGCAGAAAAACTTTGTTTAACTTGACTTGACCTTAACCTTGCGAAGTTCTTCCTGTTAAAACGAAAGTAGGGTGCACATGCTACAGAACTTCAGTCTGAAGCATATCGAGAGCTTATATGGTCTGCAAAGTTTTATATTTTGGACATACGGCAGTTATTATTTGTTTATTTGGTGTTTTGTAAGTAGACATACAATACATCGTCTAAATGAAAACAATAATGCGCGAGATTGAACCTGGCAATTCACAGACGTTTTTCTGTGCACGTTGTTTACATACCTAAATCAAGCTTTGCTTTGAAATAAAGGTTAACAAAAAATAATTTGAAGCATTTTGTTAATTAAAAGCATTTGTTTTTTTTTTAACAATAAATAAACAAATAAATAAGTAAACATTTTTTTTTTAAATCTAAAGACCCATTTCAAAAATGTTGAAAGATAAAAAAGGTTCCATCTAATAAAAGTAATAAATGTGGAGGACCTTGAACATTGTAGAAAATTTTCCAATGAGTTATTGCATTAACAAGTGAGTGAAAAAGAGATATATACGAGAATATATATCCATCAGCATATTTTTGTGATCAAGCAAAATTAATTCATGATACACGTATTCGAAATATACACAATATGAATTTTATAATTGACAACCATTGAGTCAATTAAGTGGCCCTAATTACACCTAAAAATTCTAGTTTAAAGCTGCTTGATGTTCCATCTATTTGGGAAAACTTTCAAATATTTTTTTTATAACGGTATATGATAAATTGTAAAATTTTTAGCACAATTAAAAATTAAAAATAAACTTGATTTTTTTCTATAAAGTGTCTTCAAATGTAAGCTAGTTATCAGAAAAGATGCATTGATGCATTTGATCATGTGCATATACATGAAAATGGTAAAAAGTGATGAAAAAATTTTGAAATGCTGATTTTCCCTGAAATGACTGTCATTTGTGTAAACTGTGGTATTTGTTTTATTTCAGTAAGTAATAAAATACCATTTTATTTCCTTGATGAGGGTTATATAGACTCTCAATAATTTCAAAACGAAAATATGTTCCAGGATCTTTGGTATCTTAGAGTTAGATTTCTTCAAGGCATTTACATACTCTAGTTTGCATGGGACCTAATTAGTAAGTGAAAATAATTGGTACTACATGTATCAGAATTTTTTTAAAACCAAGTTTAAGAACATGTATCAGGGAGAAATTTTCTTTTTCTTTAAAATGGACTTTTGCCAGAATAAAGCATGTGGATTAAATTGCACATTTCCTCCACTTTTTATTTTTATTTTATCAAAAACCAAAAACAGTGAGACTGCCCCAACCTATACATGCACACACAAAATTATAAAATTCACTGGTTAAATAAAAGGTATCTCTACAGTTTAAAATTAAGATGAATTGTCATTTGTGTAGGCATAAGAAGGAGATCAGAGTCTTTAGAATGAGTAATTTGTAAATCGTATGGACTTGCATGTACATCTGTTCAATAAATTACAATAAAGACTGGGTAATGCAGCAAAACTTGTTTAGTACGAACACG